GCCGGAGAATCCAGTCACCCAATCTCGTCCAATCAGAACGCGGCTCCTAGAAGTTTATTTTTCCAACCACATCATGGTGGTGTTTCCGGAACGTCTCGGTCGGTGAAACAGCCAATGACAGAGCAAAGCTGCATAGCTCAGCCAATCGGTGTTCTTACTGCGTCCTAGCGCGCTGACAGGGCGATTATCGGGAGGAGGAACGTAGTGTGAGCGCGCGAAAATCCTGAGGCGGGAGAAGAGTGTGGTGAGTTGGTGCGGAGGGTATTCGGTAAAGCTGTGCACAGTGCGGTAACCCTTAGCAACCGGCCAGAGTCCAACCCACCTCTGAGTTGGTGTGGGCGCTCGGGGTTACTGTGGTTGGCGCTGTGCTGGGTAAGGCCGGAGCCAGAACATTCCGGGAGAGAGGCCATTGTCCTCGGGGATCCGTGTCAGCACATGTCTTCATAGCAGGCAGTGTGGTGTGTCCAATCATTAGAGATTTGTTTTAACCACTTATTTACTCGGCACTTCCACCCCCTTCCTGCCCAGGACAATCTTCAGTTTTCAGCGCTGTTGCACTTTGAGAATTGCGTGGTCATGCAACACTATACCCAAATTACATTTGTATCACACAAATAGAGCTTTCTTTTGGTGATATTTAATCGCCACTGGGAGTTTTTTGCACTATAAACAAAAAAAGTAAACATTTTTCTTTGTTTCAATTATAAAATTTTGCAAACAGGTAATTTTTCTCCTTCACTGATGTGCATTGAGGCTGCCCGGATGGGCACTGATGAGGTGGCTCGGATAGGCAGCACTGATGAGGTGGAGGTGGCCCAGATAGGCAGCACTGATGGGCACTGGAGGTGGCATAGGCTGATGAGAGGTGGCACGGATAGGCAGCACTGATGAGGTGGCACGGATAGGCAGCACTGATGGGCACTGATGAGGTGGCATGGGTGGGCACTGATGAGGTGGCATGGCACTGCTGGGCACTGATGATCAGTGCAGATCTGTTCTCTGACAATTGCCAGTTATCGGCAGTACTTTCCTCACGCTGTGCCGGCCGATAACCAGCAACTATATTTACCTGGTGATCTGTGTCATTTGACACAGCTGATCACATAAAAAGCCACTGTGATTTGCCTTTTACCACATCGCGTGATCAGCTGTGTCCATAGGACACAGCGATCACGGAGATCGCTGAGGGTGTGTTCTGGCAGGACATCATATGACGCCCTCCCAGGACTGGACAACCGCCTTGTAGCTGTCATTAGGCTACAGCATGGTTGCCACTTGGTTAAGGGTCTAGAGAATAGAATGGTGGGTTTTGCAATTTTTTGGTCACAAGGTATTTGGGCAGCAGATTTTCAAACTTTTTTAGGGAAAAAGACTTTTTAAAATTTTTATGCAAAAACAATAGAATACCCATTTTTAAAAAATAAGATAATGTTACACCGAGTAAATGGATACCAAACATGTCACTGTAAAATTGCTCATGCAAAAGTCAACAAAACACATTCATGCAGAATAAACCCATGGGTTTAAAGGTTTCCAAAATCAGAAACCGCTACATTCTGGAAATGCTAACTGTCACACTTGTGCACCAAACCGTCAAACCGTGTAATAACTGATCACTTGCAGCACCATGGCAGTTGAAGATCAAAGATGGCAGCTACCTTGGCTGAAAAGGGTAGGAGGGTTTAGTTCAACTTTAAAATAAAAGAATCTCAAAGTCTGACAGTTAGCTTTCTTTTTAACCGCCTCCCGCCCGCTATATAAGGAAATGACAGGCACAAGGCGGTTCTCTCGTTCTGGGATGACAGCATATGACATTCTCCCACTCAATCGGCGATCGATGGTGCGCTGTGTCCCTGGGACACAGCAGATCACCGATCAACAGAGCTGATTATGTCGGCTCTGTCATGTGATCAGTTGTGTCCAATCACAGCTGATTGCATGTAAATAAGGAAGTGCCGGTTGTCGGCATTTCTTTCCTCACAAGCTGTCGCGCTGACAGCTCGTGAGGAGAGGAGAGCTGGTAATCGGCATTCCTTGGAGGGGACATGTACACTGATCATCAGAGCACTGATGATCAGTGTAGCCCCATCAGTGCCTCCCTTCAGTGTCCATCAATACTACCTGTCAGTGCCACATATCAGTGCTTACCAGTGCACATTGATGCCACATATTAGTGCCCATATGAGCTGCCTTTCAGTGCAACCTATGAGTGCTGCCAGTCAGTGCCATATATGAGTGCTGTCTTTCAGTGCCCTTCTGTGATGCTTATCAGTGCCCATCACTGCAGCCTCATTAGCACACATCAGTGAAGGAGAAAAACCACTTATTTGCAAAATTTTATAACAGAAACTAAGAAAAAACTTTTTTATTTTTTTCAAAATTTTTGGTTTGTTTAGCAAAAAATAAACCAGAGATGATTAAATACTACCAAAAGAAAGCTCTATCTGTCTATAAAAAATGATAAAAATTTCAGTACAATGTTGCATGACCGCGCAATTGTCATTCAAAGTGCGACAGCGCTGAAAGCTGGAAATTGGCCTGGGCAGGAAAGGGGTATAAGTGCCCTGTAGGCAAGTGGTTAAAGCAGACACAGCTAGAGTAGGAAATCCTGTCCCTTGCCAGCATATTGCAAGAAGGACCCCTGTTCTCTGGGGAATAATTAATCTCTGTAAAGGTCTCCCATGCTAAGATAATATGCTAGTTCTGCAGTTAGCACAACTCATGCTGCTTCCCAACAGGAAAGCTCTAGCTGTGACTCATAAGGGGGGGTGTTCAGACGGCCATACTACATGGATTGAAATTTGGCCAGTTTATCAGAGGGACCAGTCAAACTTTAATACATGTTTAGTCAGACAGCTTGTACAGAAGTTGATGTACAGATTGACTTCTGTACAACCAGCCAGTCGGGGTTTTCCCCAAACAATCAGTGCCACTAGCTATAGCCGGCAGCACTGAGCAATGTGTTCTGGCTGTCGGACACAATAGTTCAGTGGGAAGGAATCCACGTTGAGTATGTAGATGTTGGAATTGGTTTTTTTTTTTTCTAACTGACTGGTTGAACAAAAAAATTATTATATGGCATGCCTAAGCTGCAACGAGACCACAGTTTCCACCGAGAGGACAAGGGTCCTTTTCTGCAGCCGCTGGCAAGAGGACAGGTTTCGGTTCTCAGGCTGTGGCTGCCGTATAAAGAAAATGAGCTAGAAGATATTAAACACCATGAGGGGAATTTACTAAAACTGGAGCAAGCAAGACCTAGAAAAACCAGTGGGGAGGGTGGAGACAATTGCACAACTGACCTGTCACCGCTGGAGGAGAGCACACTGACAGGTAAGTGCTCCATAATGTATGAAGATGCTGTGCATAATTTCACGTTATGTGAAATAACTAATAAAAACAGTGCAGCTCTTACCAACAGTTTGCTGTCATTGATTACTTTTTTCTGTAAACGCTAGTTGCGTGGCAATTTTGTCTCCTGCAATATGTAGCAAACAGGTCGACCAGCTTTAAAAAAAAAAGTGATAATAAGAGCAGGGGGTGGGGATATTTTATCAGTGCATTTGCTGCAGTTAACATCCGGACTGTAGGCAGGGAAAGGAACTTACACGAAGGCTTTGTCCATGTAAGAAAAACAAATAACAGGTCTTTGATGAAGAAGGGTTACCCTCTAAACGCGCAAGCCCACTTTCCACTGTGCCACAAGTTGTTGGCTTGTCATGCTGTATATCGTCCCTGTTTGTATGTTTTTTACTTTCATATAATAAATGACCCTTGGATAATGCACTAGCCAGGTGCGCCCTCTGTTTTCTTGCAGTTGTTACCAGACTTCTCAGTCGTTAGAGGGCAGCAAGGCCTGGCACTCCCTTTGATGCTTTTGTAAAGAGGCCGGTGCAAATTGACCCTAGTCCACCACTTATGCACAGGAGGTGTTACAGTGCATCCAGAAAGTATTCACAGCGCTTAACTTCTGCCACATTTTATGTTACAGCCTTATTCCAAAATGGATTAAATTCATTTTTTTCTTCAACATTCTACAAACAATACCCCATAATGACAACGTGAAAGAAGCTAATTTTGAAATCTTTGCAATTTATTAAAAATAAAAAAAAAGCCACATGTACATAAGTATTCACCCACAGCCTTTGCTTGATACTTTGTTGAAGCCCCTTTAGCACCAATTACAGCCTCAAGTCGTTTTGAGTATGATGCTACTAGCTTGGCACACGTATTTTTGGGCAATTTCTCCCATTCTTCTTTGCAGTACCTCTCAAGCTGGATGCAGTGTATATCATTTGAGCTCTGTCCATGGAGCCTGGGCAGGCAGAGGCATGTGAACTGTCTGCAGACAATTCACATGCATATGCAAAGACTGGTCTGGTGGAGATCTGTATCAGTTTTCTGATCCCTTTGTTAATTGGGTATGGATGCTTCTCTAGTTTCTATTTCAGAATTAAATAGAAACTGGTGTTGGTGGAACGGGGGAGTTTATCAAAAGTGGAGCAGCTTTGGATAGCAACCAATCAACTTCGATCTTCAGCTTGTTCATTCAACCTTTGAAACTGAAAGATAGAAGCTGATTGGTTACCATGCACTGCTGTTTTTGATTCTGTCTCCTACAGTTTTGTTAAATTCCGTTAAAATGCATTTCCAAACAAGTAAATTGTAGTATGGTGTGGAATGAATAACTTTATTTACAACCTATGTTTATGTCCACTATAATCTCACAGCTGTTCTTCTTCATTTCAGGTTGTTCATCGGTACATTTTCTTGCTGCTCATTTTTACTTTTAATTTGTTTCTGGCTGTACAATGGGAATTCAAGGTCTTACTAAGCTGATTGCTGATGTGGCCCGTGGAGCCATAAAAGAAAATGACATAAAAAGTTACTTTGGGCGTAAAGTGGCTATTGATGCCTCAATGTGCATCTACCAGTTCCTTATTGCTGTGCGGCAAGATGGGAATATGCTTCAGAACGAGGAAGGTGAAACCACCAGCCACCTAATGGGCATGTTCTATCGTACAATTCGCATGGTTGAAAATGGCATCAAGCCGGTGTATGTGTTTGATGGAAAACCTCCTCAGCTGAAGTCAGGTGAACTGGCCAAGCGTACTGAAAGGAGGGCAGAGGCTGAGAAGCAACTTGAAGCTGCCCAAGAGGCAGGAGAGGTAGAGAACATTGAAAAGTTTAATAAGAGACTTGTAAAGGTCACAAAGCAGCATAATGAGGAATGCAAGAAACTTCTAGCCCTAATGGGTGTTCCATATGTTGATGCTCCATGTGAGGCAGAAGCTACCTGTGCTGCTTTGGTGAAAGCTGGAAAGGTGTATGCAGCTGCAACTGAAGATATGGACGCATTGACCTTTGGTACTCCATTGTTGCTTCGTCATCTCATGGCTAGTGAGGCCAAAAAGTTACCTATTCAGGAATTTCACCTTAGTCGTGCCCTACAGGATATAGGGATCACACAAGAGCAGTTTATAGATCTTTGTATATTGCTAGGCTGTGATTACTGTGAGACCATCAGAGGCATTGGCCCAAAGAGAGCAATAGAACTGATAAAACAGCACAGGAGCATTGAAGAGGTCCTAGACAACATTGACTTGAAGAAGTACTCTATTCCAGAAAACTGGTTATACAAAGAAGCTCGGCAGCTATTTTTAGAGCCTGAAGTGGTTGACATAAATGATATGGAGCTGAAGTGGCAGGACCCAGACGAGGCAGGCCTGGTGGCCTTTATGTGCGTGAAAAGCAGTTCAATGAGGACCGCATCCGTAATGGTGCCAAGAAGCTGGCTAAGAACCGCCATGGTAGTACTCAAGGCCGTCTAGATGACTTCTTCAAGGTGACTGGTTCCATCAGCTCCACCAAAAGGAAAGAGATTGATATTAAAGGCTCAGCCAAAAAAAAGGCAAAAACCACGGGCACCCCATCAGGGAAATTTAAGAAAGGCAAATAAGTGACTGAACTTGGCAGTGGAGATATGAACTGTTTTTCTGATTTGAGTATTATGCGTGTTGAAGTCTTGGAATGTTATTTTCATTAAAATGTTTAAAATACCTTTTGAGCTTCACAATTTTTAACAAATGCTGAAGGGAAAATAATCACCTTAACAAACCATTTTCTGCTTCCATTACTTGCCTGTACAAATTGAAAGTTTAAATCTGGCAATTGGGTGACTTAGGAAAACTGTTTTGTGCTAGCTGCCTTATTCAGAAATATATACTCTTTTCATTCTGTTAGTGCTAGTTGCCTGCCTGCCTGTCATTCTGGGCCTCTTGCTTCAATACGGTGAGCTGCTAACCCAGAACAAGTATGCAGATAAATACCTTTTGATATGCACTCTTGTTTTGGGTCAGTAACTTAAAGTATTGAAGCCAGTACAGCAGCATAATGGGCAATTTAGAAAGAAGTCCGATAAATTTATTCCTCCTGCCTGGAGTTTGCATGTTCTCCCTGTGCCTGCGTGGTTTTTTTTATGGGTACTCCGGTTTCCTCCCACACTCCAAAGACATGCTGGTAGGTTAATTGGATCCTGTCTAAATTGGACCCAGTATATGTATGAATGTAAGTTAGGGACCTTAGATTGTAAGCTCCTTGAGGGTTAGGGACTGATGTAAATGTACAATATATATGTAAAGCGCTGCGTAAATTGACGGCGCTATATAAGTACCTGAAATAAATAATGAAAAATATTCCCTGGTCATGTCATGAAATGTTTAATTTTAGGGCCCCTTTCCACTTTTCCTCTCTGTGTTGTTTTACCATGTTTATAAATATTGTCACAATAATTGGGCTTACAATGTCTTAAAATGGACAAAAAAACCTCTCCTGCACCACTCTGAAATGCAATTCCCCACAATGCATGACATGTACACTACTCCAAAAAAAGTAAAGGAACACTTTTTAATCAGAGTACAGCATCAAGTAAATTAAACTCCTGGGATATTGATCTGGTATGTTAAGTAGCAGAGGAGGCAGTTTCAGCTGCTTTAGTGTTATTGAAATTAACAGGTGCACTAGATGGGCAACAATGGGATGACCCCCAAAACAGGAATGGTTTTACAGGTGGAGGCCATTGACATTTTTTTCCCTTTCCATCTTTTCTGACTGGTTTTCAGTAGTTTTGTATTGGCTAGGGTCAATGTCACTACTGGTAGCATGAGGTGATATCTGGAATCCACAGAGGTTGCATAGGCAGTTCAACTCCTCCAGGATGGCACATCAGTATGTGCCATTGCCAGGTTTGCTGGCACGCACAGACCTTTACAGGCTAGACCCGGGGTGTCAAACTGATGGCCCTCCAGCTGTTGCAAAACTACAAGTCCCATCATGTTCTGCCTTTGGGAGTCATACTTGTAACTCAATCTTGCAATGCCACCTGTGACTTGTAGTTTGGCAACAGCTGGAGGGCCACCAGTTTGACACCTGTGGGCTATACAATGGCACCTTGACTGCCATTAGGTATCAGGATGACATCCTTGATCCATTGTCAGACCCTACGCGGGTGCAGTGGGCCCTGGGTTCCACCTGGTGCACAACAATGCCTGGCCTCGTGGAGAGAGTATGCAGGCAGTTTATGGAGGATGAAGGAATTGATACCAATGAATGTCCCTCACGCTCTCCTGACCTAAATCGAATACAACACCTCTGGGATATCATGTTTTGGTCCATCTGACACCGCCAGGCTGCACTGCAGACTTTCCAGGAGCTCAGTGATGCCCTGGTACAGATCTGGGGGAAATCCCCCAGGACACCATCCATCGTCTCATTAGGAGTATGCCCCGACGGTGTCAGGCATGCATACAATCACGTGGGGGCCATACTAACTACTGAGTACCATTTTGTGTAGCTGCAATTAAATTTCAGTAAAATGGACTCGCCAGCTGCATTATTTTTTCCACTTTGATTTTTCAGGGTGTCTTTCATGGAAATGAAAATTAACTCACAGAGGACTAAATTCAATCGCTGGGGCATCCCTACGTTCCTAACATTACCCAGTCCATATCTGTATAGGTATCCAGCATGATATTTTTCCCCGTTGAGATCTGATGTGCTTTCAAAGTGTTCCTTTAATTTTTTTGAGCAGTGTACAATGTGATTTTCTGCAGTGCAAGGGTATGTTGACAACCACTGTTTTTGTGCGTTGGGGTGTCAGTGTAAATGAATGGCTCTGCACATTTTGCAGTCAGTGTAAGCTAAAATTGAGTGCTTGTTCAATAGCATTAACATCATTGATTGGTTTCACATGTTGCTGAGCATTGCTTGATGAAAAGAAGTGTTTGCTTTAGTGCCATGGATTCTAATTGCTAAATGCTGCATATAAAAAAAAAATTGTTCAAAGTTACTATTGCCAACAGCAACCAGTATAATTTCAGATGATGTTTTGTGAAAAAGAAAATCCAAGCTACTAAAACAAATTTTTATATGCAAGAATTGGGGTGGTGGGATGCTGGACTTAGAGCTTGGTGGAAGTCTGATTAAATCATATGATTACTATAGTGTAGACGTTCTCTACTGCCTCTATGGAGTTGCAATAGTTCCTGGTAAGAGTCGGCTTGTATGAAGAGAGAGAGGGTGAGTGCCACGTTGTAGAGATTGATTTTTATTTGTCACAACAAAGCGGTCTATCTTGAGATAGCATCCTACACAGGTTTAGATTTATTGTGGGGGACTAATTCTAGGATTTAGTCCTAAACAGATATTTTGAAGGTTCCTCAATAAAGCTGCTTGGTGATCAGAGTTTGAGTGGACCTCAGATGCTAGTTCTTGGCTAAAGTAGGTGCAAGTAATTTTTTTTTTTTTAATCTATAATCAATTATTTTAAGGCAGCAGGAGTCATACATGAAAGCCTAACTCTAGGTTTTAGTGCTGGTCCAAATTAAATTTTCCTCACTAAACACATGCAGCTGCTGTGTAAACTGTAGCATCAGCTACATACAGTATACAGAGATGTGTTCCAGGCAACATGGCAGGAACTTCCCATCCCACTGTCTGAACAAAATAGAGTCAAGGTGAGTGATGCTCTGCCATTCACTGGAAACTACTTTTTTTGAATGAAAACAAGGCTCGCCTCCCCACCTCAGAAGAAGCCTTGTATTCCTAAAATACAAGGCTTCCTGTGAATGGCTCAGCCCAACTCAATTTTGATCCAGAAGCTGGGCAGTTTATACAGCACAGGAGCATGTGTTGGTGAAGAAAATAGTTTGTTTGGACCTCCTTGGAGTTACGCTTTAAAGCCTAAGTTTAGTAAAAATCAGTATGTCTCCCTTGTGCTAAACACTTATGTTGAGGGAGACCTGGATATAGCAAACCACTTAAATACTTTTGTTCAGTCTTCTCAGAAATAAATTCTACTAACAATAATAAGCTGGGAAATCATATTGGTCCTTGTAATGATGGATCATTTTTAGGATTTCTGGAGGTTAAAGATTTATAAAGCATTAGGTCCTGATGGTATTCATCCCAGAGAGAACTTCGAGGTATAGTAGTTGGACCATTAACTGACCTTTTAATCAGTCTCTTCTAACAGGAGAAGTTCCCTAAGACTGGCGGACATCTAATATTGTACCTATCCACAAGAAGGGCAACAAGGTAGAAGCTGGCAATTACAGGCCAGTGAGTTTAACATCGGTAGTAGTCAAGTTAACGGAATCAATGCTGAAAGGAAGGATCATTAATCACTTAAAAACACAACTTGCTAGATCCAAAGCAGCATGGCTTTACTGAGGGCAGATCATGTCCAAACTAATCTGGTTGGATTTTTTGACTATATTACCAATGTTTTGGACCAGGGTGGTGCTGTTTACATGGCATATTTTGATTTCAGCAAGGCATTTGATACACTTCTACATAATGATCTAATACAAAGGTTGTACAAGCTAGGACTTAGCCCTTGGGTGGTTCAGTGGATATGCAGCTGGCTAAAGGATAGATACCAGAGTGTGGTTATAAATGGGGTTCACTCGAAACAGAGACCAGTCACTAGTGGTGTACCACAAGTCTCTACTAGGTCCTGTTCTATTTATATGTAAGTGATATAACTAAAGGTTTGTTGGGTAAGGTATGTCTTTTTGCTGATGACACAAAGCTGTGCAATAGGGTTGATATCCCTCGAGGTGTCTGTAACATGGAACATGATTTGGAAGATTGGTCAAAAAAGCGGAAATTGCATTTCAATGTTTCTAAATGTAAAGTAATGCACCTAGGAAAAAAGAATCCCTTGAGAGAGTACAACATTGGGAGTACATTGTTGTCCAACACTACAGAGGAAAAGGATTTGGGGGTACTCATTTCAGATGATTGCAAAATGATCAAACAGTGTGGCTAGGTAGGGAGGAAAGTGAATAGAATGCTTGAATGCATCACTAGAGGGGTCACAAGCAGGAGGAAGGAGGTCCTGATTCCCCTATATAGATCTCTAGTTAGACCTCATTAAGAATACTGTCCAGTTCTGGAGACCTCACAAAAAGATATTGATAAGATAGAAAGAGCTCAGAGACGGGTAACAAAAATCGTGAAAGGTCTGGGGAATAAAAACTATCAAGAGCAAGTTTAGGAAGTTAACATGTACAGTCTTTAGATGCATCAAGGGGGTGAATAAGGTTAAAGAGGGCAGGATTTTCTTTTTTTTTTTTTTTAATTCTGTTTATTGTTCTTTTAGTTTATAACTGCAAAACAGCCTCTGGGCATTTCCCGGCTTGGGTAGATACAAAACAAACAAAAAAAAAAAAGATTTATAGTCAAACCAGAAAATAACATAACAACCTTAACAAGCCCCCTACTTGCTACTCCAAAAATAGCTGTAAACGCTTTGCAATATAGACATAGT